TTAAGTGGATAAAACCAAGAAAACCGAGAGTGGTCATCAAAAACAAGGCATGATATCGATAACCATCAACAGAAGTAACCGGAGCTGGTCCCCATAAATCACAGTGAACTAAATCAAGAACATGTAAAGATCGTTTCTCATTCAACTTAAAGGGTAAACGATGTTGCTTGGAAAGTGCACAAGAAGAACATATACTAGAACTTGATAAAGCAGAAGTAACACTCAAATATCCATGTTTATTAAGAAGAAAAATAATATCATAAGCAACATGACCAAGTCTTTTATGCCATAAATCAAAGGACGCTTTATTAGAAGATACCACGGATGCTACCAAAGCTTGAGATGCGGAGTGAAGCACATATAGACCATCCTTATGCCTGCCGGTTGCCAAGATCTTTTTTGGTGATTTTGTCCTGAATAGCAAAGGAGGACCGAGACAATAGAAAATCAACCGGGTAATCATTAGTTAATTTGCTGAAAGATAAAAGCTTCTTTTTGATATGGGGAACGACAAGAACATCTCACAATTTTAAGTGTGGAGCAATCGATAAAGTACCAGTATGAGAGATGGGAAGCATATTACCGTTTCCAAAGACAACCTTGTCTTTGCCATGACAAGGAGCGGATAAATCAAGATTAGCCGAAGAAGGAGCCATGTGGGTAGTTGCACCTGAATCTACATACCAATCCGCAGGAGATTCATTGATGTTGCAATCCACATGAAAAGCTTGAGCGAGGTTTACGGCAGAATGAGATGACTGGTGAGCATAGCTGCTGAGATCTGGATATGCACTTGTCGACCAGACCGACCTCTGCCTCGATTTGAAGAGTTCCCATGGTTGTTTGATTGACCCAATCGGCCCCTTCCACGAGAGGTATTTTCATTAAAAGCAGCAGGGGGAGGTGTCGATGCATGTAAGGAAGCGAGAAAGAGCTCGTGGCCTTCAGCGTGAGCGACCAAATCATGAAATAGAGGACACGTAGGGAGAGCGCGGCGGGCAGTGGAAAAGGTCTCAAAATTCGGTCCCAAACCACACAAGAACCAGTGACTTTTATCATCGTTAGAAATTGGTTTTCCAATGGCCTGTAACTAATCACAAATACCCTTAAATTGCTTAGCATAATCAGAGACAGAGAGATTACCCTTCTTAAGTTGACGTAAGGAATCTTTAAGATTATGTGATCGTTCCTAGGAATCGTGGCTATAGGCAGATTCCAAAGTAGTCAACACTTCACGGGGGGTGGAAAGACCGAGAACTTTCGCCATGGATTCTTCAGAGAAGGACGATTGAAGGATCAAAAGGACCTTTTGATCGAGTTTCACCCAAGCGTCATGCGCTGGGTTGGGAGCTTCTTTTCCGTCAACGGTGATGGTGGATGGTGGGATGATAGAGGAACCATTGACATGACTCATCCACTTTTGATGAAGAAGGAGAGGTGTAATCTAATTCTTCCAGAGGAGGTAATTAGAAGAATTTAGCTTGATGGTCAGCATGTGGATGAGGGTATTGAGGGAGAAGGTATTTTCAGAGGAGGCCATCGTCGATTTGAGTGAGGAACAAGAGGAGAGGATGGGCGATTAGGGTTAGGAACGTGAGATGGCTGATACCATGTGAAAAAGTGATAATTGTTCACCTTACTTGTTATTGAACATTAAACGTGTACTTATACAAATTACAACAAGAATATAGGAGATATACATGGAATATTATAAACTAACTATAGTAAACAAATAATCTAATTATATATGAGATTTTATCTCCAATAATAGCATATCGTTGTAATGGTAGATGGGTGACGAGTAAATTGATCAATCAAATGACGGGGTTGAGGTGGTTATTGTGGGGTGTTTTTTTATTGTTTTGAGGATTTGAAGAAAACATGTTTTTAAATTCTAAAGAGATGGAAGTAGCATTATAGAGATATAAAATAAGTATTTCTAGGTGTGGTAGAATTTGATGTTTGAATGTATTATTTATAATGTAAAAAAATGAATTAAAAAAATTCATAAAAGAGTTAGAAAGAGGGAGAGCGAGCGAGCGAGAGAGAAAAGAGAGAGAGAGAGAGAGAGAGAGAGAATGTGTGGCGTGGCGAAGCCGTGTAATACCCGGTTTCTGATTATTTCTTAATTCAGAGTTGTGGACCAAAGGTATATCATGTAAAGGCTTTGGGCCTTAAGAGAGTAAAGTTTAGACCTTTTGGGAGGTAATAATGTTGGTTGTGAGACCTAAACCTTGAATTGTGTATTGGACCGAAGGGTAAAAATGGAAAAGTTATAGATCGGTCTCCTTGCATGGATTAAGGATTTTAGTTCGAGAAGTTTTTAATCCAAAGTAAGTGGATAAGATTGTGGGGATCTTCAATATATTTTCGTGCATATAAAGAACGCCAAAAACGGAATTGAAACGAAGAAGTTATGGTCGTTTGAAGTTGAAGTGAAAATTAGGGAGTCGTGGATTACGCAGGGCGTAACAACTCTTTAATGAGTTATGCAGAGCGTAACATTTGCTACGCAGGGCGTACTCGACCAGAGTGAAAACCCTAAATTCGGGGTTTTGAGCCCTATTTAAACACCTTAACCTCCATAAACCTCTTCCATTCTTAGCTTCCATCTCCCCAAACGACTCCCTTGAAACCTTAACCCCATATTTGAGCCTTGTGAGCTAAAAAGTGTGTTTTGGGTGGTTTTAAGGAAGAAGAAGTTGGTGGTGTTGCTTGGAAAACTTAAATCTTTGTGCATCTGTGATTTACACCTTTCAAGCATTCTCCAAGAGGTATAAAGTTCAGAACTTGGTGAATGATTTGTTAGATCTAGTTAGTTCTTAGTTTTATATCCTTTTTGTCCCATATTCTCGGTTTAGTTGAATATGAGCTACTCCAGACCTTATGAGTAGCATTTCCATATGTTTTTGTAGGCATGGAATCATAAAAATGCAATCTTGATCCTTCCCTTCCATCCATGTAAGAGATATGAAGCTTTAGGTTGTGTAATAAGTTAGGGTTTTGGTTTTGATCACTTTCTAGCCATGCAAAGTCATAAAGTTAGAACCTTTATGATTTAGGACGTTATTTGGGATTAGATTTGAGTTTTGGAGAAAGGGTCTTAAGGGAATAAGTGCTTAATGAAAAAGTGTATGTTGGACTTAGTATGCAGGGCATACCTAAGGAGTATGCAGTGCGCACTAGGGTTGAGTCCCTTACACCATGCGTAATGATGGAGTACGCAAGGTGTACTCAGCCTGATGGGGACTTTGATTTTCTTTGACTGTTGACTTTTTGATCAAATTTGACTTTGGGCCAAACTTGAGGATCTTGGACTATTGATTAAGATTCTACCTGGTTTTGGTGTTAGTGGATTTGCTAGAGCAAGTAATGCAGAAAGGGGAGTGTGTCGCAATGTTACTGGGTTTTTCAATTTAGGTGAGTTGTCCTCACTTTACCCGTGGGTCGAAGGCACCAATGTCAGCCCACTAGTTTTGGTTATCAGTTAGTAGAGGGATGATATAGGGATTGCATGTGGTCACGTAGGATAGATTGAGGACTCTTGATCTAGGCTTTCTTGTATGTTCCTTGTTTGGTTGTGGCTTTATCTCACCTCTAGGTACATATGGTTACACATTCCTTGGATTGTTGGTTGTGTATCCTTGTGTATAGGATGTTGATATGTTGTAGTGATCTGCTAGATTTGCATAATTATTTGTTTGTTGTTATATGTTTTATATGTTGTATATATCGACATAGAGGCTTTTTTGTTATGTGCGTAAGCCAACAGACCGAGGCATTCCAGTCTTATTACTGACTGGGCCAGGGTATTCCAGTCTGGTGATTGATTGGACATGTTGCATGTTGACATTCCAGTCCGATGACTGATTGGGTTGTGGTAATCCAGTCCGATGACTGAATAGGACGGGGCATTCCAGTTTGATGACTTATTAAGCCGATGCATTCCAGTCCGATGACTGATTGGGCCGACACATTCCAGTCCGATGATTGATTGGTCCATGGCATTCAAGTCCGATGACTGATTTGGTCAGGGTATTCCAGTCTGATGACTGATTGGACCCATTACATGCTTTAGTTGTTTTAATGTGTGTGGTATTTTGGGGGAACTCACTAAGCTTTATGTTTACCCAATTGCTCAGGTATCATCGGTTCGTGGGAAGACGAAGGTATGACTGTACACACTCATCAGCAGCATTGAAGATTTTGCGTTATTATATTACTCTGGTTTTCGATAAATGTAACTTGGAATAAATGATTTTTCATAACTTTACTCTAAAAATGAGCAGTTTCACCTTAATTAAAAATGAAACATTTTGATGTGAAAGTGGGACTTTACAAGCCTCACACAGCCTCGGCCTCACACCAGAGACAGTGTGTGTTGCAGTCTACGTGGCATGGCACAGTCAAAACTGTGTCCTCCTCCCAACAACCCTGAATGACACCACTCCAAACCTTAAGCCTTAAAGTAAACCATACGCTAAAAAGAAAATCGACAATGTTGAGGTGGATCCTATTTGGGACGATCCCCTGTATGGCATTACAAAAGTCTTTCTATCTCTCTCACGCCCAGAGCTACACCATCCCTTTGTATGGCAAATATATAACAAAATAATATGGAGCTTGGCATCTTTTAGGCATAACATGCATAATTGCATACCATACCGAAAATATACAAAACTGGTATATGTTAAAACAGGCTTGTGGACCACCCTAACTTTTGTCTAAAAATTTTAAATCCATATCCATATCCATACATCCATACATAACTAATATATTACATATTTGCATACGATTATAATAACTATCGAAATAATATCCACTTCCTTCTAATTAAAACCATTTGGCCTTGGGAGATTGTAAAAGTCGCACACATCAGATAACCTTTAAAACCTTCAACTAAGCTTTTTGCTTTTTTTATTTATTTAAATATAGTACCCGTACCCGTACCCGTTAAATAAAATATAACCCCAATTATATAACTCATTTTCCAGATATGGATCCAAGTGGCCTCCTCCACAAACAATCTTCATATCTAAAATACATAATTTTCAGAAACTGTACAAGGGAATTGGAATTGCATTTTGCAAATTATGAACAAGAATCCATTGTTTCTCCCTTTGGTGCATTATAGATTATACAACTAACAATCAAATACCTCACCACACCTCAAGTGGATTTTTCTCGTACAAAAAGTGGGATCGATTCCATTTCTCCTTTCTCCACAATTCCATCCTACCAATTACCAATTACACCCTTAAACTGCATCTCTCATCTACCTTCTGCCAAAAACCTCGGAAACGGATTCTTTACTCCAGAATCCTAAATCCATCGATAGGCTTGGAAGGAATGTTCGAATGAAGTTACGTGACACACGTTCTTTCTTCCCCCTTTTTTGCCTTGATGACCCGCCCATGGACCCGGGTTCTTTGACGGATCTTGAAGACCCAAATGAATTGTCATCATTTGTGCAGAAAGACAGGGGCCCACCATTATTTGACGGGTACCCCACAGCTGCATCTTGATGGGGAGGTGGGAATTTTTCACTCTTGCTTTTTGCATTTGCTTCTGTCACAACTCTCCTTTTCTAAATACCAAAATCCACAAAAAATCATTTAATTATATTCAGTAAATTTATATTAACAGTGTACATTCTGTAATCATGTTTGATACATTCATTAATTGTTGTTTTGCCTGATTGGGTGTTTATTTGAATTACAATTATTTTGTGATGGATGACGTACATAAATCAATCAACTACTTTTGCCTTATAAAGATACAAGGTTGCTTTTATGTGGGCCTCAAAAAAGACAACTTACATATTTTTCAGTATATAGGCTCAAAAAGTGGTTAATAACTACTACCTTTTTGCCTTTAAAAAGGAAAAAAAAGGTATACTTTTTTCTCCTTTCAAGTAGCAACTTTAAATTTCGAATGACAGGTGTACTAGACTTTTCAGCTGTCAAGGAAAATCACCAAACTCACATGTACTCTATAAACTAGATGAATAGAATAAGAGGTTTCAAAATCAAATATTTATGGATTTAAATACACTTTAGACAACCTTATCCGTTTAACTTTTAGCTAAATATTTTAGTCTGACCCATTAAAAATTAAGGGTCATGATCTTTTGAGAACTCATATATTCGTGAGAACCGAGAACTTTTTTCCACATACTTTTTTCAAAAAAAAAAATGCACCTCTAACACTTGCATATACAAGCACTTTTGTAAAAAAAATCAAAAAAAAAAAGTGCATATATGAAATGTGCATATGCATAAAATGCAAACAACGCAAATGTGCATATATGCACATTACATATATCCGAAAAAAAATTGAAATTTTTTTTTTGACAAAAGTGCTTATATATGCACGTTTCAGTTGATGGATCTAAATAAAATATAACCCAAATCAACTCATCTATAAGTTGATGGGATCTAAATAGAACATGAAACAAAAGAAAATGAAAATAAATAAAGAAGTTTGACTTACATCTAAATTTGATTGGATTTCTGCATTGGCTTCTGGAGCTGGAACTGCACGGCTAACCCGGTCACGTGTCCTTGTTCTTCTATTTCCATCCACAGCATGAGATTTACTGCTTAAACCTCTTTGCCTATCCATAATAATGTAATGCAATTTACATTATTTAACATTTACACCAAATTATGGGAAAAAATATTATATATCATGGGGTTCAAAGAAAATACAACATAACAACCTTCTAGCTTCCTCGTCCCTCAATTTGACATCTATTTCTTTGCTTGGAGGGTATTTTGGTAATTCTGATGGTTCACAAGCATAAGGTTCGGTGTTGAAGAACTGCACAAAAAAGTTTTAACCCCAATCATGCACACAGTTATAAAAATAAAGGGAATGATTATGACTCTGATTATTTCGGAATAATCGATCTGTGATGATATGCAACAAAAATGATTAATTAAGAGAAAACAAAAACAAAAAAGAAAATTACTATATTACCCCTCCTTTTACTCACATTGCTATTGAGGGCGGAAGTGGCAGTGCCTCTGTCCTTAGGATCGATTGCAAGAAGAGTTTCTAGTAAAGGTAGAGAAGAAGGTGGAAAGTCCTTGAATGTTTCTATTGTACAACGCCTGTAAGGATGTTGTGGCTTGAAAAGTGTTGCATTTGGTAATCGGTATTTCTTCCAATATTCATCTGATGGAGAGCCACATAATTTAAAAATCTTGTGTAGTTGTTCAACCTGAATTTATAAAACCAAATCAAGATGGAACATCATCAAACTCATTTTCACATATTAAATATTATAGTAAAATTACAAAAAACATCCTTGTGCTTTTTTGATCTTTATGTTTTTAGTCCAACATCGAAAACATTTTTCAGTTTTGGTCCTTATTCCATGGTTCCAGGTAGGGATGTGCGTTTGGACCGAATACCCGAACCGAAACCGAAACCCGGACCGGACCGACCCGAATTAGGACCGAATAAGTTATTTAGGTCGGTTCTCGGGTATCTGTTTTTGCCTAATTCGGGTTTCGGGTTTTTCGGTCCGGGTTACCCAAATAAAGGTTTAATTGGGCCAAAAAGACCGACCCGGAAAGTGAATAGTCACTTGAACCGAATAAACCGAAATGACCCGAATAACCCAAATAAACCGAAATGGCCCGAATAACAATTAATATTTTTTTTTCTTAAACTAAATATAGAATTTCCTTATTTGGGTTATTCGGGCCATTTCGGTTTATTTGGATTATTCGGGTCATTTCGGTTTATTCAGGTTACTCAGTTCAAAAACATAGTGTAAATGTTTATTTGGGTTATTTCGGTCCTTTCGGGTTAATAACCGAACCGAAACCCGTATTACCCGAACCGAACCGGTCCCATATTAGTATAATTGGTCCGGGTTTCGGTTCCCACTTTTAGTCCAATTCGGGTTTCGGGTTATTCGGGTTCGGGTCGGTTCTGGCCCGAAGCAAATCTGAAAAAGGTTTCAATTTGGACTACACACAGTAAAAATTAGAAAGGACAAGGACCATCTTTGTAATTTACTCTAAAACATTATCTGACATATGTAATATGTTACTGTAATCTCAATACAAGTCAAAAAGAACAAGAAGGAACAAAGGAGAGGTGCAAAATGAATCTTTTTGTCCCACTCTGATCTCTCCTTTGTGCAAAAGACATGAATACCCTCGAAAATCCCGGGTAACAAACACAGACTTAAGGACAGTTTTTGTCTAAATATATAAATAATACAATAAACGTATAGGAGTTGTACAGACCTCTGTTCTTCCTGGCAATATGGGTTTCCCAGCAAGAAGCTCAGCCAAAATGCAGCCAGCACTCCAAAGGTCAACACTGACACCATAATAAGAGGCACCAAGAAGAAGCTCAGGGGGTCGATACCAAAGGGTAACAACACGACTTGTCATTGGTTGCTTATTTTGTGGATTAAAGAAAGAAGCCAATCCAAAATCAGCAATCTTCAGAATCCCATCATTGTCAATAAGTAAATTTGAGCCCTTGATATCACGGTGTAGCACACCATTCTTGTGGCAATGCTCAAGCCCAGAAAGTAGTTGCTTCATGTAGCACTTCACCTGTCCATTTCATTACTTTTTTCAGACTATGTAAATGTAAAACCCACAAAGTAGTGATCATTGTTCATTATTTTTGAATAATACAACAAGGGTTGAGTGAAAATACAAAATCAGCAAGTTATTACTACATATATAGATTTCATAATATAAGAGAGCTCATTCCTTCATCATCCCTTCATGAAAACTTTCCGTTAGTATATATTCATTCTTGGAACTTCTTTTCTTAAATGCCTGTGGCTTTTAAGAAGCATTCTGTAGCTTCTCTGATATTCTACAAGTATTAAATGATGATACTTTAGATCATTTCCAAGTTCCAACTTTTTAGTCAAAGTCAATGTAATATAAGCTGAAAACAACGTAAATCAGAAAATTTGACAGTATTCTCATCCATTAGACTTTAAAAGCATATCATTGGATACCATCTTATGGACAAAAACATTAGAAAACAATAATGTCGGAAAGCACAACCAAAGGCAAATACAACCATACAAACCAGAAACAATAAGACAAATGCAACTATATGATAAAAAAATCAACATGACAACCAAGCATAAGGTCAATATAACTAATATATGTGTGGGGTCAGAAATCGATCTAACAATAACAACACTTGTTACTAACCTTAGATTAAAGAAGTAATAAGTCCGTATCTATCTTAATTGTTGAGATTATGATAATGAGTTTTGAAAGATACCTGTGGCTCTGTAAACTTGACACCTTGGACAGCAGAAAGACCAGAGAGATCATGTTCCATGTATTCAAACACAAGGTAGAGACTACAAGACATTCTTGATGTAACCAATCCTTCAAGCTTGATAATATTAGGATGATTTAGCTTCTTCAGTATAAGAATCTCTCTTGCCATGAACTTCACACTTTCTGGCTCTAAATTATCAAATCTAACTTTCTTCAAAGCAACTATCTTCCCTGTTATCAAATCCCTCGCTTTATATACATTGCTATAGGTCCCTTGCCCAATCTATCATCATTCATTTACAGATTTAAACAATCTGGTAATCGTTTTCACGTAATAAAGCTTTGAGATTTATGATTGATTCTAGGGTTTACCTTATCGAGTTTCTCGAAGGTATTTGCACGACGAGGTGTCCAATCTTTGATGGCTTCGCCAGCAACGTCGCACAGCCACGACGGCCATCCTTGAGAGGTCTTCAAGGTATACTCTGGCCTCGGTCTGTGGCGGTCCGGCGCCGGAACTTCCCCGATGGATTGCCTGATTCTTTCAACTGCTCCATCCTTTCTATTACCCCTAACTCCACCGGACACCACCTGTTTGACGTTTTGCTTAGCTAAGGATTCTTCCCCACTCCGGGACTTTGGGCGATGATCTGGAGTGGCTCTCTTACCGAGCACACATCCCATTCTGACGGTGAAGCTAGTTTCCCATTAACAGTAAAACCGGGTAGCTGGTGACTGGAAAACTGCTAGTGGTATTGTTGTTGAGTGCATTAAATGTTGAGAATTTATGGTGGTTTTGAAATGAGGAAGGAAGTGGTGGTGGTGGTTTGATTTGTGGCACAAATTGTACTGATTCTCTGCTAAACTAAAAAAATTGCAGAGAGCAGAAAGTGGTAGATGTGTGTGTGTGTGTGAGAGAGAGAGAGAGAGAGGCTTGTAGAATTATGGAGGGGTAGAGAGGGTAAAAAGGCAGTCAGTTTTTTAGATTTTCTAGTTTCATTAGATTTTTACCTTTTTAACGTCCCGATCCGACTTTTTACGTATTAAATGTAGTAAACTTTACCACTCTATATTTTGAAGAGAAAACTTCGAATTTGATCACTATTTTTTTTGTGAGATCGAGGTTTTTGTCCTTATATTTTCGTTGTGTGTTTTGTATTCTTATAACAATCCCTCTTTATCACATAATAATTCAATAAAACGACAATGTTTATATTAATATTTTAATTTAATATAAAATCATTATTTTACGGTTAATCCTCTTTAATAAATGAAAATGTATTTGTTCCAAATGAAAATCTATTTGTCACGTGTCATTTTCTCTTTGATTCGAACAAATGACATTTTCTCATATTTTTAGATTTTATTGTTTTCCACATTAATTATCTTATTTGAATAAATGTCACATACTTACATATTCTTCCCTTAAATCTAATAATAAATACAAAATCAATCTTGAAATAAATCATAATCAATGCTATAAATAATACAACAAGAAAATCATTCATACAAACTTTCCATATGTGTCAATGTCTAATTCCGTAAATAATTGTTTAATGTTAAAAAGCTTATATTGATTCTTTTTTCAATAAACTCGTGTAAAACACGGGTCACATACCTAGTTATTTTATAGTTAATATAATAATTTAGTTAGTTTTAAAATATATATATATATATATATATATATATATATATATATATATATATATATATATATAGATATATATATATATATATATCATTTAGTATTTTAGTTATATAATTTTTTTCTACAACACTTATCATATATATATATATATATATATATATATATATTATATATATATATATATTTTGTTGGAAAATTGGTGTTAACCAATTTATTTTTTAACACGTCCAAAATGGATTTAATATGAATGAAAAATTAATCCTTAAAGTAACAGTGTTGGAAGAAGTAAATAAAAGACTTTAATGGGCGGGAGAAAGAAAAGAAAAGTTCAAGGACCTTTTCTTGCAAATATTTCTTTCTTGTGTAACTGAAATTGTAATTAATATTACAATTTAATTACATATTAACATACATTAATTTTGTGATTAATAGAGGTATTTAATTGGGAGGTTATAGAATGTGTAGTATAAATACTATTACTATACAACCATTTGAATACACCAAAAAGAATGTAAGAAAACTCTCTTCTTCCCGACTTCATCTTATTGTTTTTCTAGCTATATTGAAGATATAATACAAGCCTATTAAAGGTTCGGATGGTCTAGAAGAACCACTTCTAGTTGTTGTATCCTGGAAAACAAACACCCGACAGCGGGCGAATTTGTTTTAAGGACAATGTGTTAAACACATGCCTCAACTTTTCCTATTGCTTATTTCTTTTCGTACATTTCCGTAATATTATTCCTACAATCTTAAAACAAAATTCGTTTGTACGGATCCAACTAGAAATCAAAAACAAATTTACTTACATTATTTTGATATTATACGATTTTCATAGGAAAAAATGGATTTTTGTAACATCTGGATTCCCAGGTATATTATTTCTATTCATTTATTTTGAAATTGTGGAGGGACTCGGTGAGTTGGTGCTTAGACTCGCCGAGTAGGGTCGCGAATTCTCATCCGAATTAATAACCGGACTCGGCGAGTCCATGAGTGGACTCGGCGAGTCCACGCTGTTTAATAAAACCCTAATTCCCGGGTTTTGGAGCCTATTTAAGGGCACTCATAGCCTCCCATTGCGGCTACCAGTCCCTTGAGAGAAACCCTAAGTGAGCTAAATCGTTTGTGAGGAGGAGAGGCCATATTTGATCTTTCTATCATTGGTTTAGCAAGAAGAAGGTGATCAAGATCAAGAGAAGGCTAAAGGAGATACTATTTGGAGGAATTCTGAGCTCAGGAGTGCTTATTTGAGGTATAATATCGATCCATCTTCTGTTTTGGTGATTGTTTATAGAGTTAGGGTTTTCTAGACCCTTTGGTAGATGGTTTTGATTGAGTATATGGTTCCTTTTCGTATTATGGTCTGGATCTGGATCCATAGAGGTCCAGAGACCTTAATCCTTTGAGCTTTATGTGGATTGATGGTGAATATGAACTTAGGATGCCATATTAGAGGTCATTTCTTCAAATAGAACCTTGGAGCCTTTGCATGGGCATCAAGCTTCGAACTGTACGTGATTATTGGGACTAGAAAGGATAGATCTATCAAGTAGAGCATCAGATCTGACCTCAGGAAGCCATTGGAAGTGAGCATGGTTTGGACTCGCCGAGTCCATGAACAAACTCGACGAGTCGAGTCGAGTTGTCCCGAGACTGTGAACCTAAAGAGTGACCCGCCGAGTTAAGTGAGTGACTCGGTGAGTCAAAAGAGAATCAGAGGAGTAGAGTTCACGTGTAGACTCGCCGAGTCGCACAAGTGCACTCGACGAGTCAGGTCAAAGTTTGACCGTTGACTTTGTTGACTTTTAGGGATTGGTCAACTATGGGGTCTTTGAGTCAAGAGAGGGGTAAAATGGTCTTTTACCCATCTGAGGATGCTAAGAGAGGGTGGGGTCTAGTCTCGAGAGTTATATTTATGAGCGTATCTTACTTTATGTGATTAGGTGGAGGCTAGACTATACTGCTACCAAGTTAGGGATTTACCGAGACATCTGAGGTGAGTCTTCTCACTATACTTTACCTTGAGTGGTAATTAGAGTTATGTGACAGAGTTATTGTATACTATTTATGTGATGTGTTGCACTGCATTATTTCTATGTGATTTATGCCATGTGTATATCAGAGTATGTTAGAGTTAGAACCGGAAGGTTCACAGAGCTAGGACCAGAGGGTCCACAGAGTTCGGGGCCCAAGGGCCCACAGAGTTATAGCCTCGAGTGGCTAGTATGTGTTATGCGTGGTATTTTGGGGAACTCACTAAGCTTCATGCTTACAGTGTTTTGTGTTATGTGTTACAGGTACTAGTGAGGAGCGCGGGAAGGCGTCGGCATGATTCGTACACACCCATCGGAGTTTATTATGATATGATCTTGGGATTTTGTATTAAGATAATATTGATACATTGTTTATGAAAGTAATTATGAATGAATTATTATGTTTTTGAAAAGTGAAAAATTGGTTGAATTTTTACGGTGTTACAAGTTGGTATCAGAGCCTTGGTTTGAGGGATTCGGATGCATCTTCGGGCGTATCTGAACTCAAACTGAGTATTTGAGGAAAATTTTTGATAATAAAAGTAATTTTTTTTAAAAGAGTAAAAAGAGTTTTGAGACAAACAGAGCAGAGCCGTGTGTACGATCAGCCAGCGCCCGAACGGTGATTTCCCAAAATACCCTTGTAATAAGTGTTACGAGATATATTATGTTATGATGAGCTATATTACGCATGCTAGAGTAGACTAGGTATCCTTATTAGGACTAGAGTGGCATGATATATATGATGCCTTAGTCTAGGAGTTTTGCTGCTAGGGATGCTTGAAAGTGTTTAGATAGCAGCGAGGAGCTTATGAGCGATCAGCTAGTGAGTGACATATGATTTAAGAGAGTAGAGTGCTTGGAATTTGGGACTCTGGGAGGAGGACTTGGGATGAATACTGAGGCGGTGTGGTCGGTAGTATTGGGCCCGTACTACCGAAGGCATCGGGTCAGTGCGCAACCCAAGTAAGAATCCTTAGGGTACCAGAGACCAAGTAGGATTGGGGTATCGAGTGTGTGTACGCCTGAGCGAGTCTCTGATATCTTGTGTTGTATTTCAGAGAGGCATCATGGTGGGGACGCGCCACAGACCAGGGACTAGTGGAAGGGGTGTGAGCGACGAGGAGCTCCGCCAGATGATTCATGATGAGGTGGTTGCTGCCATCCGCGCTGAGATTCCAGAGATGTTCGGGTCTATCAAGACCACCCTGATAGAGACATTTGACGAGAGATACGCTGCTCTTTCTGATGTTGTTGTTGCTGCGGCCACTGCAGCTGTAGCTGCGGCTAGACCGCAGGGTGGTGATGCGTTGCTGTTCCGGGAGTTCAGCAATACAAAACCACCAGAGTTTGATGGGACCCAGGACCCGATTGCAACGATGAGGTGGATTTCAGACATCAAGGGGTGTTTCTTCACCTGCTCATCTCCAGAGCATTTGAGAGTCCGGTTCGCGTTGAACCAGCTTCGCTTGGGAGCGAAGGACTGGTGGAAGTTTGTGACGGCACATTTTTCGCCTGCTGAGCTTGCTGCAGTGACTTGGGAGAGGTTCACTGCTATGTTCCGAGATGAGTACGTTCCCCAGGTGGAGAGAGAGCGTTTGGCCCAGGAGTTTCTGACCCTCAAGCAGGGTACTGAGTCTGTCACAGTGATTACGAGGATGTTCCATGAGCGGGCGATGTTCTGCCCAGAGCACGTGTCCTCCGAGCAGGCACGTATGAGCCGATATTTGAGCATTTTGAGGAGGGATATACGGGAGTTTGTGGCGAACTCGACGTATCGGACATTTGCTGAGCTTCAGGCAAATGCCCGGAAAAGGGAGATAGAGCTGGAGACCCAGGCTAGGGAGGAGGCTGAGTCTCAGGGGAGGGATCGGCGACTGGCACAGTCTCAGCCGGCAGCCAAGCGGGCCAAGCCCGCTGATTCGAGATCTGGGAGTCAGAAGGGTCGCACTTGTGGCAAGAGCCACGATGGGGTGTGCAGAGCGGGATCTTGCTACAAATGTGGCAAGGAGGGGCATATGGCCAAGGATTGCCCCAAGGGGTTTGCAGTATGCTTTCACTGCAACCAGACCGGACACCGCAAGGCAAAGTGTCCACAGTTGAGAGGGACAACCCAGGGAGCACCTCAGGGATCTGCCCCTGCTGCTATCAGAGCTACTGAGAGCCGGCCAGTAAAGGCCGAGGTACCGAAGGCACGAGGGAGAGCCTTTCAGTTGACTGCAGAGGAGGTCCGCACGGCGCCCGATGTCGTGGCTGGTATGTATCCTTTCTTGTATTTATTTTGATG